GTTGTTTTACTTTGCCTCTCACATGTGAACTGTTGTTACCAAGTTTCCTTAGATGCATTTAGGACAAGTTAAAGTTTATGTGTACATAAATAGAAACACTCAAGAAGGTGAATTTTAGTAGCAGATATTAAGGAACAGACATAAAAATTGGACAAATGCATATGTAAAATCATTGGAGCTTGCTTGTTTGAACTTTTTTGCTTCTTTTATGTACACAAACACATTTACTTTCCCTCTTTACTTCTCTCTCTCTCTCTCTCTCTCTCTCTCTCTCTCTCTCTCTCTCTCTGTGTGTGTGTGTGTGTGTGTATGTGTGTGTATGCATGTTTGTGACTTTCTTTCCCTTTACCCCCTTTGGCAGTTGCTACATATTCTAATATGAAGTATACATATTTCTAAAAGGATCTGTTCTATAGATTTGAAGACATAGTCTTCAGCTGAAGTCTCAAGGCTTGAGTTGCAGAAACTTTGTACCAATTTCTTGAGTTCTAATATGGAACAAAGACTATTTAAATCTTCCCACTCTGAATTAGTTCATGGCTTGCTGTGTCTACCTGTTTGTGTACTGTACCTAAGTGGGAGAATTTTGACTAAGAACGTTTAACTAAGTAATAACTGACCATTGGGAATTACATATGTGTTTTTATATCACGATTGCTCTCTTCCAGTCTTCAGGGTATCAACATTCTTGTGGTACATGGCCATCACAGAGTCATTCTTCATGTAGATATGAGGACTACTTTTCTCTTTAGTTTCCTTCATTGGATTCCTACCTCTGACAAAACTAAAACAAAAAAATCAGGTTGAATTAGACAGGAAGATGCTATGCTGAAAAATATTAGCAAATACAAAGGGTTGAAAATGATAGCCTTTATTCTGTGGGGCAATCTTAGCATGCCCGCTTCTTGTAGATTGTGTGTCTCCATTTAGGCTGACCCAGCCTTTTACAGTGGAGTCCAATTGATCCCTGCTGTAGGCAGCAGAGACTATATCTATTTTTCACAGAGATGTCCTTTTGTAACTCTTCATTGCTAAGAGTAGGTTTTCCTCCTGCTGGCTTTTTTTCACACAGCTGTACCAAGCAAGGGATTTGCATATTGCTCCCTAGGGAAGATCTCTCCTACTGAACCAAGGCAAAACCTAACTTCCCTTTTTGTCTTGACTACTGGAGACTTTCTGTATCAAGTTCTCAGAATGAGGTGCCTGGCTCAGCTCCTGAGGCTATTTTTCCTCTGGATCCCTGGTGAGGAAAAAAAAAAACCAAAGATCATGGAGAATGTGGAGTGATGGGGGATTTCTGGGGACCTGATGATGCAGATGTATGCTCTGTCCATGTGTGAGACTTCCAGTCTGTTCTCCATAAATGGGCTTATGAAGTTAAGAGGAGGAAGGGATGGAAACCTGTACTTTTGTGGCAGTTCCAAAGCAGAAGGATTAGGTGATTTCTAGAGTCTTCCTGCTCTCTTTACTTAAATATTTTACGTTGAACACTTCTAGAATAAGAATGAAAGTCATGACCTCAGTAACTAACACGTTGATAAAGTAACATAGCATCATCATGTTTGTGCATACCCTTTCATTTCTTTTATTTTAGGAGCCATTGGGGATATTGTGATGACCCAGTCTGCACTCTCCATTCCTGTCACTCCTGGAGAGTCAGTTTCCATCTCCTGCAGATCTGCTAAGAGTCTCCTGCACAGTAATGGCAACACTTTGTTGTATTGATTCCTATAGAGGCCAGGCCAGTCTCCTCAGCTCCTCATATATCTGAAATCCAAACCTGTCTCAGGAGTCCCAGACAGGTTCAGTGGCAGTGGGTCAGGAATAGATTTCACACTGAAAATCAGTAGGGTGGAGGCTGAGGATGTGGGTGTATATTACTGTATGCATGGTCTAGAATATCATTCCCTCGTACAGCCCTGAACAAAAACCTCACTGGTTGAGGTGACAAAGCTGCCTGGTATGTTCTTTGTCTGGGTATAGCATGATGTAGTCAGCATGGCAAAGTGAAGCCATTCTTAAGAGACTCTTGTTTTCTCTAACTTTCATCTATTGAAACAATGAATCCTTAGGAAATGAGACTTTCCATAAGAGTTTATGCTGGTAGAAGGAGAAACAGCAGCTTCTCTGCAGGAGATGCCACTCAGGGTCTTGTAGAATGATAGATACAAGTGTACCCACTTGCTCCAATGGTAGGCACGAGCACACCTTTAACAGGTCTGCTTCAGTGTGGATATCTTTGGCCCTGGGTTTAAGATTCACTCTCATTTCAAGACTACAGAAGTCTGATAGATCTCTGAATGTATCCTGCCCCCCCCCCCCCATTTTTCAGTGTCACAACATTGAATGAAATTTTCTTCTGGATTTTACTTTCAAGGTGGATTATTGAGGACAGGTTACTAGCCCAGGCTTAATGTACAATAAGTGATTCTATGTTATGTAGTAATGGGAGATGCTCTTGAGACTTTGTAAGATGAAGATGTTGAAAGATTGAAAATATTGAGTAGCTGAGCACTCAGAACACATGGGACCTATACATTCAACAAGGAATTATTACCTAAATATACACAGAATTAAAAGTATAACTAACCAACAAGGAACCTAACAGTCCAATGCAAAATTGGGTAATGAAATAAACAGATAGTTCTCAAAAGATGCAGCATGAATGAACAGTAAGCAACCTCTGGCTCCTGCAATCTTTCTACCCTTCTTCTGTAATGGGCCCTGAGGCTTTGAAACAAGATGTGCTATAGATGCTCTTTCCATGGCAGAGCACACTACTGACATTTATTCACTGTACTTGACCTTTGGTGAGTCTTTGCTTTAGCCTCCATCTACTACTTAAAAGTCTTTAATGAAGTATGATATATGTGTTACTCTATGTATAGAGAGAATTAATTTTTGAGCATAGTTTGACACTGATTTTATTTAGCAAAGTAATAATAAGTTGGCTCCTGGGCTTTGTGACCTCTGAAACCTTGGTTCTTGGCTACAACTAAGTAAAAGGCATATATTTCTTCCAGTGAGGTAAATCTAAAACCTAATTTTATATATCTATTAAATAGCTCATAGCATCTTAGCCACTGGTGGTCACATTATCAAGTCATCAAGTCCTCAAGTCTCTGCAGGGCTAGGCACATACTGTTGCACTGAGGCCAAGTAAGGCAGTCCAGTTAGAGAAATGGGTTCTGCAAACAGGCATCAGCTTTAGGAACATCCACTGCTCCAGTTTTTGGGGTCCTGCAAGAAGGCCAAGCTGTACATCTACTTCATATGTGTATCAGGCCTATGTCTAGCCTGTGTATGCCCTTTTGTAGTTCAGTCTCAGAGAGCCCCCAAGAGTCTAGCTTGTTGACTCTGTTGGTCTTCCTGTTGGAGCTCCTATCCAATTTGGGTCCCTCACTTGTTCTCCAAACTCTTCCATAAGAGTCCCTGAGTTCTGCTCAATGTTAGGCTGTGAGTCTCTGCATTTGTTTCAGTTAGCTACTGGGTGTTGTCTCCCAAGGGCCTAAATTCTTGATTGCAAGCATAAAAGTGTATTATTAATATTGTTAGGGATTGGTGCTTGTACTTGGGATAGGCCTCAACTTGGGCTGGTTATAGGTTGGCCATTCTCTCAGTCTCTGGTCCATCTTTTTTCATGTATTTCTTATACAAATGACAAATTTTGGGTTTAAAGTTTCACAGGTGGGTTAGTATTTTTATTTCTCCACTGGAGGTCGGTCTGAATATAGAGCAAACTGTCAGGAGCAGTCTTGTTTATACACTGAAGGCCTATATTCAGCCATAGGCCTAAGTAAGCCTGCTAGCACAAAGTCTTGGTCTCTGTGGAAAAACACTGAAAAGATGGCTATAGGATCTTGTAAGCAAGTATCCTTGGTCGAAATTTACCAGCCTGGATAATATTCATAGACCTTGTAGATAGGTAGCCTTGGTGGATAGTACCAGCTTAGATAAGAAACGAGTGAATCATAGATAGAGTCATAGTGACCTGTTCCCTGAGCCTTCACTTAGCGGATACCTTGTTCTGGAAGAATCTGTACTCTCCCTGAACACCTACGCTCCTGTGTCATCCCCTTCCCCACATCTTGCCTTTATGTGTATATAACCCCTGTGTGAAAAAGTAAAAATTTCAGTTTGATCAGACTATAGACAAATCGTGGTTCTTTGCGTTCGACTGTTTCCCCCATCCTCTCTTTCAGGTGATCTCTCCAGACCCTGTTTACTGCCCTACTGGACAGGACTACAAACAAGTCCCATATCTCCACTACTATGATCTCAGTTAAAGTCATCCTCATTGACTCCTGGGATCCTCCCCATCACAGGTTTCTGGCATGTCCCAGAGATGCCCCCACCACTCTATCCCTACCCCTGCAGATTTCCATCTATTCTTCTGGCCATCTGGCCATCTCTCCTGTCTCTCCCCATACCTGATACTGAACCCCCTCCCCCATTCCCCTCTTTATAACCTTCTCCCATCCAATTTCCTCCCTCTATCTACCTCCTATGACTATTTTATGTCTCCATATAAATGAGATTCAAGCATCTTCACTTGGACTTGCCTTCTTCTTTAGCTTCATAGGGTGTGTAGAACATAACATGGCTATCCTGTTCTTTATGGCAATAATCTACTTATAAGTGAGTACATACCATGCATTCACCTTTGAGTTTGGGTTACCTCACTCAGGTTGATATTTTCTAGTTCTATCTGTTTACCTACAAAATTCATTATGTCCTTGTTTTTAATAGCTGAGTAGCACTCCATTGTGTAAATGAAGCACATTTTATTTATGAAATGAAGTATCATTTCATTTCATAAGGGGCATCTGGGTTGTTTCCAGTTTCTGGCTATTACACATGAAGCTGCTATGAACACAGTGGAACATGTTTTCTTGTGGTGTTTGAGCATCTTTTGGCCTTGTACCTAGGATCAATATATCTGGGTTTTCAGGTAGGGCTATTTCTAATTTTCTGAGAAAGTGCCAGATTAATTTCCAGAGTGTCAGTACAAGTTTGAAATCACAGCAATGGAGGAGTGTTCCCTTGATCCACATCCTCACCAACGTGTGCTGTAGCTTGAGTTTTTGATCTTAGCCATTCTGATAGGTTAGAGGTGTACTCTTATGGTTGTTTTGATTTGCATTTCCCTGATGACTAAGGACTTGGAACATTTGTATAAGTGCTTTTTGGCTATTTGAGATTCTTCCATTGAGAATTAATCTGTTTATCTCTGTACCTCATTTTTAATTGTGTTATTTGGTTTGTTGCTGTCAAACTCCATGAGTTCTTTATATATTTTAGATCCTAACCTTCCGTCTAACGTCAGGTTAGTGAAGATTTTTCCCCAATTTATAAGATTCCATTGTCCTATTGACAGTGTTCTTTGTCTTACAGAAGCTTTCCAGTTTCATGAGACCCATTCACGAATTGTTGATCTTAGTTCCTTACCTATTGGTGTTCTATTCAATAAAATATCTTGTGTACCATATTCCTTCAAAGTTCTTTCCCACTTTCTCTTTTATTAGATTCAGTGTATCTGGTTTTATGTTGAGACTTTTTTTTTGCAGAGGCCTGAGTTTTTTCAGGGTAATAAATATGGATCTATTTGCATTCTTCTATGTGAAGTTAGACCAGCACCATTTTTTGAAGATTTTTTTTCCCATTACATGGCTTTGATTTCTTTGTCAAATACCTAGTGTTCAGAGATGTGTGAGTCTATTTTAGGGTCTCCAATTCGATTTTATTGACCAACTTGCCTGTTTCTACATCAACACTATGCAGGCTTAATTATGATTGGTCTGTCATACAGATTGAGATCAGGAATGTTGACTTCTCTAGAAATTATTTTACTGTTCAGGAGTGTTATAACTTTCCCGTATTTTTTGTTTTTTTTCACATGAAGTTGAGAATTGCTCTTGCAATGCTGTTAAATTTGTGTTTGTTCATGCCTTTCTTCATGTTCTTATTAGACTTTATATTGTTATTGGTGTGGTTTTATTCATTTTGAATTTTATAGTTTTTTTTAACACTCTAAATAGAAGTCTCAATTGATTGCATAATTTCAATGCACCGTATTTCAGGCTGTGATCCATCTCTATATCCTTCAGCTAGATTCTATTTTAGACTTAATTTTTTGAGATCTAAACAATTATTATTTCATGTTATGTATTTGGGATTAGGCTAACAAATCACACAAACTCAATTTATCATCATTTGCATCCTCTGGTTGCTGATTCTGTTAGCACATTTTCACTTACATGCTTTTCTTTAGTTAAGTTCTAGCTTTTAAGTATCATCATTTTTTTGCTACAGTAAATAAGCACTTATATGTATTTTAAATCATTCTCTCTAAACATCCACTTTCTTGGGACATTTTATTGAACTATTTAATTATTCTCTATCAAATACTTATTAATATACAAATTCATATAAAGTTGGGTATTTTCATAGAGTACTTTTCTTTAATTTGTCTATAGAGCAGTATTTTTACTATGTGGCATTTTCATTTGATGTGAATATTAGTATTTTTAATTCCAAAGTGTCCTTTAGTATTTTCTTTACATAATCCAGTATATATAAATACATATATATGTGTGTCAATATACGCATGCATGCATGTGTTTACTTTGGAATTCCTTGTAACTTGTCTTCATATAAAACTTTGTAAGTAAACTGATATATTCAAAA